CCCCCCCCCCACCCCGAACCATCGGTAGACGAAACTGTGGCAGCTACAACCACTATACGAGAAGTATTACAAGTTATTACAGCTGACAATGATGATGATGAAGCGTGCGAAGTAACCATGATTTGTGGTTGGAGAGAACCGATGTGCCTGGATCTTGGCGAGCCCCCATTCAGGTCTCCTCCGGCTGTCACAAGAGAAAGTGGAACACCGTACCAGTCACGTTCCAACTATCAAGGATTTAGCAGGAAGATGAGTATTCTCAAAAGCGTTTGAGTAATAATCCGTACATTGTACGCGATCATTGTTTCTCGCAGACCCCCCTCATGTGCCTCGTCGAAAATCTGGTTGGGCGCCAAATGTGCTCTACCAAGTGACATACGGGAAGAGTGATGGGCAAACGTTTGTCCCGCACAGCAGCAGAAAATAAGACTCAACTGGCTGTGTGGCAGCCAGTTTGGTTCGAGCCAGTCTGTTTTTTAACAAAGATGACGATTCCTTAAATCCCAAAACCCAATATTTTTAGGTTTTCACACCTTTTGCGATTTTTTATCGTTTTGAGTCGCTTTTCGAAGGCCGAGATAGACCCAATGAACAAGAACATTTACACGCTTTATATTCGTGCGCTTCATGACCTTTCGTTAACTCCCCCGATTGTACACGCGCGCTAACTTCCGACCTCAGTGTTTCTTTTGGTCATGAATCCTTGGCTATAGACGTACTTTGTTGTTTATGGCTACATACATGATAGGTCGGCCTAGCACACACATCCGTCCGGTTCATTCATCTCCCCATTTTCTTATTGGATCGCTTACTAAGTCGTCCAGTTTAGTTTAATGGCGATGACTGGTGCACCACCCATTACGTCGAACCTCTTATAACTAATAATTTGCATCACTGTAAGTGCACGTTCGCTTTATGTGCTTCTCATATGTCAGTTATCATCCATATCAGGTCATTTGTCACGTGGAAAACGTTAATGTTTCAACTGCTCAAAACTGCCATGGGTTGTGAACTATTGTCTACTGGGATTATAAGATTATTGGGACCCATGTGAAGCATGGTTTTGAAGTTCCTGAATGCTTGTCGTGTCAGCTTACGAGAGGATGGGCAAAATAATTTATGTGGTCGTTATCGTTCGAAGATTGTTGCCATTTGCTACCTTACACCGTATGATCATGTAAAGTTCAGGTTTAGCACCAAGCAAATTCTTAAAGGCGCCACACTATGGTGCCGAAGCTGCAGATGAAGGGTAGTCCAACCTTGACGGAAAATTCTAGCCGAATTTATGCGGAATTGGTGGATCAGCTTCAGATGGTTATTTATGAAGAGATTGTTTGGGAAAATCAATGGAATGCGGCTTCACCAGTGGTTTTTCGTATTCACTATTTGATAGACAATAATCGGGTATTTCATACTGCCCACAGACTTTACTGTATAGATGCCTAGTGTCCGTTACCGCCTTAGTAGCACGCTTCTATACCACGCGATCATTTGAAGGCACACTTTGTCTGGTGCTGTCAGTGTTTGGGCTACTTTAAAAAATGGATGACAGATATACGCAGTACTTCGACATAGAAGTCTATTTCACTCTCTAGGGTGTAAAAGTGACGGTAGTAGTTTGACAAACGATTTGCACTGCTTGCATCTCCAGAGTTCTGTGCAATCAAGCCTCTCCACTTAAATTACCTGACCTGTTTACAAACGCAAATGCTTGATCCTCAATTTTTGTTTACCTATACAACTAATGACAAGCTTTCTGTCCTCAGATAACGGCCGCTGTACTTCCACTTGCTGAGGTGATGTTGAAACAGACAGTTTATCCTGTAGACGCACAAGAAATTTCACTCCAACTGTCGACCGGGCACGGTTTTGTTCCGGTTACCCGCTAACAAAAATGGACTCGTTTAAAGTGGTAACTAAAGGTCCACCCTCACATTTGACTTGGGAAATTCGTACTTACTTATTTCAGAAACCTTATGAGTAGCGTAGTCCATCAAAAAAGTGTCCAGTCATAACATGCATGACATCACCCTTCGCGCAACGATATCAGCCGGGTTGAGTTATTTGCTGCACTCAGCCGAACGGATAAACGGAAACGTACGGCCCATGACGCACTCTAGCATTAATTTTTATTTCTTAGTCCCCGTCTCCCACTTACTGATTGATTTTCCGTGATTTCCACAATGAACACGTTAGTTAGGGATTCAGAGAAGTGGTCGGTTGCACGCCATCGCTTCTTGCCTATTATTGAAACAACGCATCCGTTTTCATCGCGGTTTCTATGTACGAACCCTTAAGCAAACTGACCAGCAAAGC